ATCTGAAGAATTTATAAGCTAACCTGCCATCCATGGAAGTTAACTTGTTCCTGCTCATCACCACTGGCAACTACCGTTACAAATTTTGAGCCGAAGTGACGGTCCGAACAGTATTCTGTAATGTTAGGGTGCTTCGACTGCAGATACCCAGCAGTGATGCACTCCTCAGCAGACAGGAAGAAAGCATCCTGAGGGGAAAAGTATGAGAGATTGCAAATACTCCAAATGAATAGATTCAAAGAATGGTTGTACTATATGAAATATATCTGTTAATCTTGATAAAAAGATATGATCACACATTACAAAGACTTCCATCATAGAAATTAATCAAACAGTCTTTATCAAATATAGGACATATTAGAAAATTACAATACCTTGGGTCAGTCTTCACAAACCCTCTAAATACTGAATCAGGGGACTTGCATACCTTATGTCTGGTGCAATGAACCGTTCCCTTGACTTGATCAGCTGACCAGAGATCCGTGAAAATCCAGCCAACACGTCTGAGCCCTAACCATGCACATAGTTGATCTACTGCCTTAAACGAAAAGGCAACTATAACTAGTACAAGAGATTACGAACAATACCTTCTCATTGGGATCATCACACAGCTCCACTCCGTCAGGGCTAGAAGTCTGGGGTGGTTCATAGATTGCTGCCACAACGGCCTTTATACCAAGCGGAACATCCGTGAACGGTTGATACCTAAAGATAGAAATCTTAGGGACTGTCGAATCAAATAATGGCCTCACTTTCCAATGAGATATCCTACGCGCTGGTTTCCAGTCGTCCTCCAAAAATTTAGAAAATCATTTACAAGGTCCTGATTTTCAAAGAATATATTGTCCACATGTCGGTATTTCTGAAGCATATTAGTTTGGTGAAGAGATGTGAAATTAAAGCTACCAAAAAGAAAGAAGAAAAGCTAAAATTTGCTCTGTTTGCTATTTTTGCTGAGCGAGTTCAATGGAACACAACAATACTGATAAGCTGTATGGCAATCAGTGTAAAAAAAAGTTTTTTTTACTGAGAACAAAGCACAAAAAAGAACACAGCCAACAAAAAACGAGATAAGTTGCAGCGCTAATAAATTCATTTTACCCTTACAAGCAATGAAATACTTGATTTCCAGGTACAGGTCGATAAGACAATTTGTGTTATGAAATTGACAAACCTGTCTATTCAATGTCATCACTGGCGGTTTACATTT